CAGTAGCAAAAAGAGTGCGAGTGTTGTTTAAGTTACTGTTTATAAGGTTTGAGAAGAAGGTCTGTCTAGCTTTGCCTAGTTCCACATTGAAAGCATGAAGGCTGTGTCTTTATAGATGCTATAGTGACTTTCAAGTCTCGTCTTCCGCCACAGTCCTCCCTGAGGATCCAAAACTTGATAACCAAACTATTTCCATGTGTATTCCAGAGCATCCAACGAGCAAACCAGAAAAGCCAGAGCTGATCAACATTTCTGAAACGTCACCAACAGCCTTCAATCTTCAACCTTCAACTGTTAACTCTTCAGCAGAAGATGAACCTTCTACTGCTCCATATCAGACATGTAAAGACCCTGAAACCCAGCACACACTGCCAAGACACGGCACTAAACTTTCTCAAATATCAAAGGATGAGACTGAGGTTACTCTGGACACGTGTCTGATGGTCTCTGCAACCTTCTTCAGTGCTGTTATTTGTGTATCATTCAGACTTCCAATATAAAATCTGCAGTGGTTTATTTACAACCAAAAATTATAGTTTGAAAAAGCAATGTGTGTTTTAGCTGAGTGACATCACTGTGTACCTCATACACGACTGGCTATTGGAAATGTGGCTCAGCTCATTGATTCATACTTATTAAAATGTGTCTATTTTGTGAGTTTCTCTATATGTATACAGTAGCTACTGAAGATTACATTTGGCTCTTTTTTATACAAACTGGGAGTCATTTGTCAATGGAATGACAGGATGGTATGCGTATGTGGTTTTATGTGTGATAAGAAATGAGGTGAGACTAGACAAATAGCGCAGGTGATTTCCGAACAGAATTTTAAGAAAGTTTGAGTTTTAAGTTGTTTAGTTAAATCTGAGGTTTTGCTTATACCACAATGAGGAGTTAGTCTGTGTAGACATCTATGAACTAAGCAGAGAATTTATCAAGGTATGAAATGTTTTATGACATTTTAGTTTGTATGTTTATTCCCTTAATTTCACTGTGAATGTGCTTGATGTTATATGTGACTTCATTATGTGACTTCAGTTCACATACATGCAGTCTATAAACTTCAAATAAGTTACATTAACTTCAAATAAGTTAATATTTTAATCTTGGAAGAGTATGGCATTTTACACCCCTCCATTTCCTAAAGGGTTAAAAGAAACACTTGGAAGTTGCTAACCTTTCTTGTCAGTTAGCAGACAAGTGTATGGCATTTTGCAGTGCTCTTTAAAAGTGTGCCCCAAGCCTCTGATACCCCAAAAAGGTCACGCATTGCACTAAAGTCACGGCATCAGGTTAACGGGTGACTAAACACCATTGTATACAGAGATGATAGAACTGTTCCTTGAGGAAATCTTTGACCCTTGATTCCCTTCTTCCAAAACTTGACACTAAAGATATTGAGTCACTTATTGTATTACTTTGTCTCACTGAATTAATGTGCAAACAAGGTTGTGAACACATGTGCTCAATGAAATATTCACATGTATTTTATCATGTCAGTGTCAAAGTAGAAATAAACGTTTATAACCGATAAAAACGGATCCGTTTATTTCACAGCTTTTTTATGAACAGCCCTTCTCATAAAGATGATCAAGCTTGCTGTTAATGTCAACAAAAATGTGAAATTATTCAAACTGAAATGAGTTCAACTTTGGCATTGAACAGAGCAATGGAACTCATGATTTAATAAACAAGAACATAGTTTGTTGAACATTCATGGGTGTATGATAAACATGAGGTCTGACAAGGCAACTTGATTTTTTTTTTTTTTTTTACACAAAACCAATAAAAATAGCAAGTGGTAGTTTTTAAATATTTACATATGCACAGATTTGGTTGAACGATAGTTGTATAATTGTGTGAATTGATTTAATTTAAGCAAAATGTTCCTGAGAATTGGTTAATCCAGAATTTATGTACCATCTCGCATTCATCTACAGCACATATTCCAGCTTCACTGTCCAGTTCTGAAAAACCACCTGAGCTGTGATTTCCAAAATCTTAGTAGATTGTATGAACCACTATCAACAATAGGCTTACTGTGCTTTTGGGGGAAACAGCCCTGAATAGTAGTCAGATCTGTGAAATTATAACCAAACATAAGCACTCATTTATTGATCTGTTAAGTCCAGTGCTCAAATACAGTCACTGAAAGACCAGTTTGACAGTATGAATATATCTAGATTTAGACTATGTACACGTAAAACACAGAATGATAACATTTTGCATGTGTAAAAAGCAACATTTCATGTAGGTCCACTTCCTTCAGTCTAACAAACTTCCCCTTCTGTGCATTAATAGTACAATTTTGCCCCCTGGTGGAAAGTTCAAGTCAAGAAAAAAATAGAAGGAAGGACATGTAGATTTGTCATATTTTGCACTGGTCTAAAGATATTTGCTAAAAACAGGGCGAGAAAAACTACAAAAGTCTGTTGGAAAAAGTAAAAAGATATTCCTATTCAAACAAATAAAGCATATGAACATTTCAATGTTTAAAAAATTACAATAATTTTCTTTAAGGATTCCATGGTGTCAAAGCTTTTGATATTAATTAAAATATGGGTTTATAACAACGACTGAAAATCTTTTTTTTTTTTTTTACTTTCATTGCTAATGCACAAATTGAAAAAATTAATGCCACATTTTATACACTATTTAAGCACGGAAAACAACAATACCAAGGAAAAAGTTGAGGTTGATCTTGGGGAAATAAAAAAAAAAATCTTAAATATATATTTAAAATTCAATGAAGTATTTCAAAACACCTCCCAAAGCAGTTTCTAAACCGCAGATACTTTCAACATTCACTGGAACACATGATCTTCTTTCAGTCCCTATTTTGCATCAACTTCCTCTAAAAGAGGTACTTTCGACATGTTGGTACCTCGCATTTGCACTCTACGCGCATGCGCTTCTTAGGGGAGCCTGGGAGTCCCGTCAGACTGAAATTAGAATCCATCTTCGTGCTCTCGGCATCAACTGGATCAACTATGGAAAAAAATGAGTCAAGAAAAAATGAAAATTTTCCCCTTCAATGAAAAATACTGTATTTATATATACTGTATTTCCCCATTTAAAAGTACATGTAAATTTAGTGAATTTACACACTACTGTTCAATAGAACATTAAAGAATAAATACAACAAAAAATGTAAAAACAGTAATATTGTAAAACTTTGTTACAATTTAAACACTTCTATTTTAATACATTTTAAAATGTAATTTATTTCTTAGACGGCAAAGCTGAATTTCAACAGTCACTGCTCCAGTCTTCAGTGTCACATGATCCTGCAGAAATCATTCTAATATGCTGATTTGGTGCTCAAGTAACAGAAGAATATGAATAGAAAGTTCAAAAGAACAGGAGTTCTTTGAAATAGAAATCTTTTGTTACATTACAAACAGGGTTCCCACTCTTTCATGAACACCAGATTCAAGGACTTTTAAAAGCACCATTTTTTTTTCAAGCACCTATCAAATTCACACCCCAGCATATGTACCGTCATGAAAGACCTTTTACAGAACTTAACATTTCACTTACATTTAACATTTACATAAAAAATGTCAGAGTAATAATGATGTTTTGAATGTGTAGGTTTCATAAATTTAGACCGTTTTGAGTCTTGTTCAAAGGAATTGAATGAAATCCATTGAAGTCAATACTGGTAATATTCAAATACAATTTCAAATATTGATAAAAATATATTTTCTTGCATCAAATTGGTTTTTGCTGTAGTTCTTGTACAAGATTTAAATTTGAAAGAATTTCTCCATTCTTAAATTAATAAAAAGTGGTTAAATGTTGTAATAACACGGTAAAACCTGTTAACGTTAAAAATGTGTACATTCACTAAATAGACAATGAAATGACTCATTAATAAATAAACTCAAGTCAAAATTATTTTGTAAATCACTTTTTATTGAAAATCCCTTTTCTATCCCAAAATCCCAAAACTTCAATATTTTTTGACAGTATTTCATGAACATTTTAAACCTTGTACATGCGCAAATCTGCAAAAAATAAAAAGATTTACTTTTCTATTTCTATTTACTTTTAAACTGTAAACGCTTTTAACTAAGCTGTTTTTCCAATTTTTCAAGTTCTACTTTTTTCTGCTTAGCTCCATGTCTCAGAGCTGATTCAACAAGAACCTGCATGTCACTCTCCATGCAGTCAACATATGTTGGAACTGAGCCAAGAATCATAAAATTTTCACTTTCCTGGCATTGGGCTTGTTAATTAACACTGCTTCTCCATAGGTTCATGAAGGGCTGCGCTAGAGGGCTGCATTTTTTACGGCGGTTTTACCTTTACTGTGGGCGGGAATGGGCGGTCAAAAAAAATGTAATGCAGGTCCCACAGTCTGGCACATATAAGAATGATGGAGATGCATGTGTTTACGCTGTGTTTGGTTGTACACAGATTACATTACTTGCCCAGCGCCCCTACTGTCGTTTTGCTTTTTTTATAGAAATTTAAATAATTTAGTTTAGCTGGAAAACGTACGCTACACTAAACTGAAAGCGTCTGCTCTGCACCAGAGTTGCCAGGTCTGCGTGACAAAACTAAACCATGCCAGTCGAAAACAGCGCAATGACCATATCCAAATATCAAAACTCAAAATATGTCATTTCCATACCTAAAATACATATTAAGTTCACTGTTATGTACACTGATAAAAAAAAAAGAAAAAACGGCTCAGAGGCTTCCTACCAGTGGCCCTCCATCACAAAATTTTTCCCACCGTGTCCGATACTAAAATCAGTGCGACACACTTTGCAAAAAGCGTGGGAATTGTCGATGCTGCTTCGCAATGATCCGTCCAGCTGTTGTTGAATTTGCAGCTATATTTTGTTTTGTTTTTTTCGCCGTAGCACCACCTGAGCTTTCTAATGCCATTTCTACCAGTGATGCTTCATTCAGCTTCCCCAGTCTATATGCACAACAGCGCAACTGAGTTGTAGGTTGCCAGGTTGAGGTCACAAATGGGTTCAAAATTGTATGATCTGTCTATTGTGTGAGTAGGATGAAGTAGGAGTTTCATACAATATCTGGCAACTGGACAACCTTGGAATTGATGGAATCAAATATTGATGTGATTATTCATATATCGAGGTAGGGCCATACAAATTACGGGAGTTTCCCGGGAGAAATAACAAAACAGGAAGGGGGCGGGAGATGGGTGTGAAATACGGGAGACTCCCGGGAAAAACGGGAGTGTTGACAGGTATGCCCTGCATCCATACACGAGCTGCAGGAGTCAGATTTGACTGATCACGAGTCGAGAGAGATGACTGACAATGCTGGAGGATTTGCTACTCGACAGATCCTGAGCTCACTGACAAATATCTGATCTTGTAAGATGTGCTCCCTTTACACAGAGTGTGATTGATCGCGAAATCTGAAGTGAACAGCGAACGTTCATTCAAATGCGATTTCAATGGGGGGTCACGTGGCCAGGACCAGGATGGCAGCTTAGCGGATAAGCTCTGAGAAACCGTGCACAATTTAATATAAAAACCCCTTATATACACGGCCAATCTTTGAACAAAGCGTCAGCGTTGATATGTCAAAACTGTCAGCAATTAAACAGTGTGACATTTTTACTCAACATTTTTCGTCGAGTAACGTTACACCGAGTGAAGTGGAAGCTAACCACATGGAGAGCTTAGCAGAAGTTTTAAATGAAGTGAAAGCACTTCGAACAGAGATCGGAACGAAGTTGGACAGCATTGATACCCGTCTTACTATTATGGCGAACTCAATGGCCGCGTTGGAAAGCAAAGTGTCGGATGTAAAACGAGATGTGTCTTCTAATGCAGCGTGTATTGAGGAGACTGAAGGCCGCATGCATGATACAGAAAAGACACTTGAAAAAACATAAGCCGCACTTGATTCAGCCATCAAAAGAATCGCCTACCTCGAATCAAAGACTGATGACTTGGAGAACCGGGGCAGAAGGAAGAACCTCCGGCTCTATGGTATTCGAGAGGGCGCCGAGGGCCAGAAACCTCTCCTTGAATTTATAAGTGAGATGTTGACACGATGGCTGGGACTGAGCCCAGATAAACCATTCACCTTAGAACGGGTTCATCGCACACTAGCATCTGGGAAGCCCAACCAAAACAGAGCAATACTCATCCGCTTCTTGAAGTTTCAGGAGAAGGAATTTGTTTACCGTGAATCAAGGCGGCGAGATATCACACACGACGGGGTCAAGATATCCTTTGCGCAGGATCTCTCAGCGGAGACGGTACGGATTCGACGGGGATTTAATCCAGTCACGAAACTGTTTGTTGATATCAACGCTTTCCGTGGATTTCAGCATAATCCTTGCAAGCTTCGAGTGCTATACAACGGCAAGATTCATCTCTTCTCAACGCCGCAAGAAGCTGAAAAGTTCTACAAAAGCATCCCACAGTCAACGCAGAATCTACAGTCGGGTGATTTACACATTTACACTTGCGTTTTTATTTTTTTTCTCTTTTTTTTTTTTCTTTCTTCCATATTTCAAAATGTTATGATAATTTATGGAGAAAACAAAACTAACATTATTATTTATGCATTTATTTAAAGAAAAAAAAAAGTGTTAATTGAACGTGTAAGTGAAGGGGTGTATGCTTGTGTACTTGTTCTGGTGTTACATAGGCTATTTTGTTACTATATGTATAGCTGATGTGTGTTTATAAAATAAGAAAAAGGACAATAAACATATTGAAGAAAAAAAAAAAAAAGAGATTTCAATACCCCTATGCTTGTGTACTTGTTCTGGTGTTACATAGGCTATTTTGTTACTATATGTATAGCTGATGTGTGTTTATAAAATAAGAAAAAGGACAATAAACATATTGAAGAAAAAAAAAAAAAAGCGATTTCAATACCCCGCATATTAATAGCGGCTTCCTGATGTGCGAAAATTATATAAAATATTAGAATGGCTCTAGGCTGCACATCAACACACATG